CCTGGTTAGCACTTGTAAAATTCTATGGTGAAAATTCAATCCTGATCACTTCCCCAAAAAGGAAAGAAAAGGCCATCGTTAGGATATATGTTTCCTCACCAATTTTCCGTTGACTTCAGAATGTTAAAGAATTTTTTCCAAGAAAGGATTAGCTTATCTGGAAAAGTGGAAATCAATAGAAATTTTATGAATGATGAAACTATTGATAGCTATAAACGGGTTTGCCCATTAAAAAGAGTTATGCTCCCATAGACTTAGTAAGGTGTGCGTAGTAAGAGCACACCTTACTAAACCTTACTAAGTCTATGGGAGCACGCCTTACTATCTCTCATATGTAGCAGCCAAGTATTTTCGATTTCCTAGTTAAATACGGATTCTCGTTGAATCAGGGCTCGTTATAAGTGAGTTGTATTGTATTTGTTAGTAGAATTTGCTTCCAGTTTTTTGTTTATAGTGAGAACCAATTCTAGTAAGTCCCTTTTAAATAGCAGTTAAATCTACGACAGAGGTCGCAGCATTCAAACAAAGCTATATTTTATTGTTTTGAGATTGTATATGAAAGAAAAATTATGGAAGTATAAAATGTACAAGATTTCAATGAAATTAAAAAACATCAGCACCATTTTCCTATACCCCCATATACCCCCATATACCGTACCCAATACCGTACTTAAGGGTTATAACCGCACTTAAGAGTTTAAATAGCTATTACAGTTTGATAGCTAAAAGAAGGCTGATAAAATGCATTTTACTGAATTAAAATTTGCTTTAAAACATCTGAAATGGAAAAATTTGGAGAAATGTAATTCAAATATAATTATAGAATGCATATCAAAAGAAATCCAGTGTTTAATAAATAAAAACAAGTTATAGGATTAAATATCTAAGAACATTTAATTCGAAATGAGATATAGTTTTCTTATTCCCCGTAAAGGTTTATATTTTATTTCAAAACATCTACAGTTCAATAAAAATGGAAATAAAAGTATTACGAGGTAATCTTGATTGTTAATTCAGATTTATTTCTGAGAAACAGCTTCCTGAAGTAATTAAAAATTACATTTCATGAATTCTAATTACGTTCTAAGGATAATAATGATTTAAAGAATTAACCGCTTACACGGCCAACCACCTATAATACTTATTAAAAAAAGAAAAACTAAATGCCGTAATGAGTTTAACAAGCGTAATTGCATTGGTCAAGCAAATAATTATTAATAATACAGATAAAGAAGTGAGTTTACTGCTTTTAAATCACTTATTTTGTTAATCAATAAAAAGCAGATTAAATTTTAAGATTTTACGCTTTGCCGGGTTGCAAAACACTGGTGCATGGAAGATAAAAATATTTTTATATCGTGTAATGCCAACAATTATTCTTTAATTCTTCATTTGTTGATTTATTTTGAAAGATATATGTCCTGCATTTTGCTTTCTTTCAAATAGCTTAGTTATCTAATTATATTTTAAATGTAAATATCTTACGTTGTGTCGAGTGCCAATACATTGGTTTTAAATCAATGACTTTGTTAATCAGAACTGCATTATGTTCGCCTGATTTTACAACAGGAGGAAAATATACATATTCTTCAATTTTTAATAACAGAAATTATCATAATCCTTAGCATAAACAGTGACCCGGTGGCACAGTGGCTAGTGCATCGCGTAGCAGCGCCACAGATACAGGGTTCGCTCCCCGGACTGGGCCATGTTAACTGAGCAAAGTCGTACTGTCCCACCTGTACGGATTCTTTTGCCATCTACTATCTATGTTGCTTGGTGAAATTTATCGCTCTCTTTAAAAGAAATCCTACTGCGGACAAGACGCTTAAGTCTGAACAATTTTGACATCTTTCGATTCCCATTTCGATAAGGATTACAAGGATGTCAGTTTTAACAAGATTGGATTAATTGCAAATGGTTAATTAGCCAAATTAGTACATAACGGATAATTTGTATCAATAGGTAACATTACATTTGTTAAAGTCAGTTGCTAGGTAATTTGTTTTCAATTTTTCATAGCGTTTTTAGCTTTTAATAGCCCAATTTTATAATAGAATCAAAAGGAAAACTTTTCTTTTTCCAAATGCAATGATAATCAAGAATTATCTCAACTCAAAATCTCTACAATATACTTCTGACAGTGAAACAATCGTCTATAATATCAATAAAGGCTGCCCTCAAGGTTCATGCCTGGGGCCAGCCTTATGCTCCTTTACTTTATGATAATACCTCTCATACGCATATACAAGCCTATGCTGATGACTTTATACTTCTTGTTAAAGCAAAAGGTAAAAATTCCTTAGAACAAAAAGCAAATTAATCTCTAAACATCTTTCAACAATGGGCAAGACAATATCATTTAAAAATTTCTAATCCAAAACGTAAGGCATTATACATACCAAAAAATAACTCTTCACTAAAAATATTAGAAATCCAATTATCAAAATTTCAAATAATAATATCAAGTTTGAAAAGTATATAAATTACATCGGAATAATGATTGACGCTCGATAATCAGCACATTCAATATATTAAAAACAAAACTCTTATATTACATAATTCTTTAAGATGTACTAATACAAATACATGGGGTATTAATCCAACTCTCCAAAAAATCTGGTATATACTGTTATAGAGAAAATTATACTTCACGGAGTCTCAGCTTGGGGAAGAACCTAAATTCTCATACAAAAAAAAATATCATCTCAATTCAAAGACCATTTCTCTTATCCTTAATCAAAGCTTACAGAACCTCACCATTTAGTGCTCTTCAAGTAATATCTGGCATACCTCCTATCACGTTATCTTTACATAAAGAAGCTATAAAAGTAATAGTCTCCAGATTACGTATCTCAAGCTCTTACAATAATATTGAACTTTCTCCTAACAATTATGAATATCTCCAACATAATCTCAGCCTTAATTCTATAAATTATTACTTGATTTCATCGTTGGCTAATTCATCAATAAAAATTATGGTGTGTGTGTATTTAATTATGGCAAAGCACACTAGGGCTATCTGCCTAAGGGGAGGAGGGATGCCTTTGTGGAGGGCTTCCTAAGGGAAACTGGCTCGTATACACGTTACGAGCACACACATGCGGAAAACGACGAAAACACCCATGCAGCCGTTCGCGGGATTCGAACCACGGACCGAACTACCAGCGTTCAGCGACTTTACCACTCGGCCGCTGGTGGGCCATAAAATATTATGAAATTCAGGTTTATGCAGATGGATCGAAGACTAGCATCAGCTTTGGCAGTGCCTTTTTGTGTACTCCATAAAACTGTTACCATACATCAATGGAAACAACGTTTAAATAGCTCAAATTCAATCTTCCAAGCAGAACTTCACACCATAAAAAATGCCATATTATGCACCAAAAAGAAACTTCGCTATCTAGCATTATAATTTCTGACGGCAAATCAAGTATTCTAGCCATTACTGGTCATAGCAAATCCCCAATAGTTAACGAAATACACCATCTGGTACCATAGATTCCTCAGAAATTAATTCCAAAATTGAAACGGACTAAAAGTCACTCGGGTGTCTGTGGAAATGATCTTTAAGCCAAAGAAGCTGCCAACAACTCTTCATTAACTCAATGCCAATTACCTTTTCCATTTTCTCACTTTAAAAATATTTTAGAAGAAAATTTTAAAATCACGAGGACTATTGATACAACTATTGATACAACTGGACTATTGATACAACTGGATGCAGAACTTACATGTTTTTTCCAGCTCCATCTAGAATACTAATTTTAAATAACATATCGATTACTTTCCTTTTGACAGCACATGGATCTTTCCCAGACTACCTCTATAGATTCGGGCTCCACCATTCAAATCTTTGTACTTGCGGACAAATAGGCATAATAGACCATTACTTATTTAACTGTCAAGTTAAAAAAAAATCATACAATACAGTATACCAACATTTCAGCTCACCTTTGGATAAAGCAACTACTTTAAAAGCAATATCTTAACGATATAAACTGCAATCACTTATAAACTATCTTTCAACCAATTGTGAAAATCTAATTTCCTCTTACACATGTCTTCATGACTTCTCTTTCATAAATTCTAAAGGAAGGCCTTTCTCCTAAGGAAACTTTATTGTAAAGAATAGTCAACATCGACAAAAAGAACATACTGCAAGCTACCAAGTAAATTCTAATAATAAGTATGAAAATTTTACTGTCATTTAAGCACATCTTCGTTATTCTCAATCAATCCTTTTGGAATGTTTTCTTATGCTAACATCTTCTATTTCCTACAACTTTCTACGGATGTGCCTTTCTCTACGATGGAATATCTTCTTCATGATCATCATCTCCATGCAACAACATTCATCGAGGACTATGAAAAAATCCTTAGAGGATCTTGAACATTTCTGATCCTTCACATTTAAAATTTTTATGATTTTTACATATTTTGGCCACTACGATTTACATACTTTTAATCCTATTCTTTAAGGACATATGTATTATTCATGTTACTATTCATATTATTTCGTATAGCCTTACCTTCAAATTTCCATTTCTTCGTGGACTTTCGCTCGTATGAACTTTATACGAACTTGTGAACTCTTGGACTTCATTCTAAAGAACTGAAGACTTTCATTATTATATATATTTAGACTTTTTCTAATTCTCTTTGACTATATAAAAACTTTACTGACTATTTATAACTAATTCTAGCAAATTTTGGAAATCTAAGTTCATCTTGATTCTTGTTTTTTTTAATTTTATAATTAAAATTTTCTTTGATCCTACTTTCTTATTTTTAACTACATTTATTTGTATAATTTTTCAACTGTATCTCTACACATCTCAAAATTATATTACTGAAATAATTATATACATGTTTCTTTGTACACATTCTCTAATGTAAAACTCTATATCATCATTCATGTAAAAACTTATGTAAAAAATTCTCAATAAATGCCCGCTGACTACCAAGCCACCTCCTTGACTTGGTGTAGTAGATAGTAGATGGTATCCATCGATGGAGCATCTATTCTCGGAAGTTGTAATGATAGTGCGGCTGCTCCATTGATGGTCTTCTGTCTTCTGTCACATGGTACTCAAGTTTCTGCCAACAACAAGCGCAATCTTGCACTCCTTGCTACGATGAATTTCGCGGGCTTGTGCTGGTGCTACTGTCAAACAAGTGAGATAAGTCACAATCACCCAAGTATAGACAACACAAATTTATTTTACTTTAACCATTATTGCATAAGAATAAAGGAATATTAGGTTTATAAAATTCAGTAATGAAATGGAACAACGAATTCATATACCAAACAAAAGAGGGACACGCTTAAGTGAAATATAAAATCAGCAAAACAATTTTTTGCTTGGCATAGAATTAGTCAAGAACTCAATCGAATTCGAGGGCAAACAAATACAGGTTCCTCTTCATCAGGAGTAAAGAAATCTGTGAGAGAGGGCGCAAAGGTCGTATTTATACCCTACGGCGGTAAAGTGATAGGAAAGGTAGTTCCATCTGTCGGAAAAAAATAATGAAATTGAAAAATTAATTTATTAGAATTTTAAAAACATTACAATAAACTGGATTGGATTTAAAGTCATTAAATAAACAAGATAATTCAATTTCAGTGTGATTTGAGGGATACATCTGCCAAACTGAACGAGTGTTAAAGTTTCGTAACAAGGAACATGAATCTTATGTCCAACAATGCGGAATTAACAAGTCTTCGATATCTAAGGAATTTTAAGGTTGGAAAAGGAAGGAAGGTTTAAGTTTGGAAAGCTTGGATTGGAAGGTTGGATAGGAAAGGATTTAAGGTTGGATTTAGGTTGGAAATGTAATAATAATTTTGACTTGGGGTCTGAAAAAATTATTTAAAAAGTTCTACCATTCATGAATTAAGATTTTTTTGAAGATTTTAATATTAACAAAGATTTATCTTTTTTAGGGAACGCCTTTTAGTCCAATACAGTCCTTCCAAAAGCTTTTAACACATAGAAGGCCAAAACGCCCTAGACTCCCTTTTATTCAAATGATCACAATGGCTAATCAATTATGATGTTATTTCCTTTCCCACCCCCTAAGTTATGCAGAAATAAGAGCAGATTCCCCAAATGAATTTCATCAGTTTATTGCAGAGAGCTTGCCCTAAAACACTAAAGCTTCTTTGTTAGGAATTAGAAAGGATGTCATTTTAAACGTTCACACCTCTTTTTGAGTTAATGGACGGGAAGGCGAGGAAACTGACAGGACGAGTAATGGACGGATGTTTCGGTATTATATATATTTTAGTGAAGGCTTCTGTTTTCTAAGGGTTAAAATTCTATCAACGTAATTTTTCAATTTCTTTGCTATTTTTCTTGACAGATCGTGCTACTTTCTTGTTCGTTTTAATGCCGTAGGCTACAAATACGACCGTTGCCCCCGCTGATTTCCAGTCTAGCAGATTTCTTTGCTCCTGATGAAGAGGGACATGTACCTGTTTGCCGTCGAAATCTATTGAGTTCTAGTCTAAATGTATGCCAAATACAAAGCTGTTGCTTTGCTAATTTTATGAATTCACGTATATTCATATTCATTTAGTGGCAATACTTCAGACTGCGTTAGTAACTCCTGATTGTGTCGTACTCGTTAACGCAATCTTCATTTGAATTAAATAATCGCTAGAGAACCATCGTTATAACAGTTTGTGAATGCAAATACCTCCCGAATTCCTAAATTACCTTTTCGGTTTTAATATACTAGGTTTGATTAATAATTTCCGGGAATCATTGCTATGAATCAGGTTATATAATGCAGCATTTGAAGGATACAGATCGTTGAGACATTTAGACATTTATGAAGGTTCGAATCTGCCAAAATAACTCTACTAAAATTTAACAAAGATGTTTGCTGGAAGCAATTGGAATAGCCATGCATTGGAATGACAATAAACGAATTTTACCAATTATTGCAAAATTGGTTGACTCATTACTACAGAATTAAAAATTGTTAAAATTGCATAATGTTAGAATCGAAAGGTTACTCATGGAATGGCTAAAATGTGTTGATCCAGGTCTGAATAGTTTTGTGCTGATATTTAATGTAACAGATTTAGTGAGCTCACAGAGATGTAATTTTTGGTCAATTTAAAAAATTAATATATTTTTACTTAGGAGAAGTTAATTATTAAACGAAAATATTTGCACCATTCATAACCAAACCTGCATCTCTTGTAAATTCAGTTTCTAATTTACTGTATATTTAAAAATTACTTGTAATTAAAATTGTACTACTGTAAAGACTCCTGACAATTTCAAAGTCTTCCATGCATTTCCTTGATCTTCTCTGCAGATTTCATGTTTTCTAAACTAATAAATTTCTAACTTTATGAAATTTGTTAGGCTATTTGAAAAGTCACGACGTAATATTTTTATGGTCTTCAAAGGTCTTTTATTTACATAAAGAATATTGAACAGACAGTAATATATTGCCCATTTTATTCGACAATATTTTGCTATCATTTAATGAGCTTCATAGTTTCTCATTCACAAAAGAACCTAGTTTTATCCGCGAAAAGCTAAAGAAGGTGCTGTTTACGGCCTCATCTGAACTGAATGTTACGCCACAAAAGAAATTTTGTAGGGCGTAAAACGAGTGAAAGTCTGAGGACACAAGATCAGGAACGTATATTACGTTTGGTCTCGCATTATTAGGATCGAATACAGTTCCTATACGATTAATGCGGTCTGGAAGTTTCTGGAAAAGGGATTTGTTGAGGCTGTTCATTTGGTGACGTGATTGGTTGAAGCTGTTAACTTGGTGATGGGATTGGTTGAAGTGTCCGCTTGGTGACAGGATTGGTTGAAGGTGTCCGCTTGACAATAGCACAGTTTCGAACCGATTTGTTGGCTCGTTCGCAGGAGCTTGGTAACAAGACCACACACAAGTCTGATAGCTGACAGAAGCTGTTGGAGCTTGGATGAAAAGTGTTGCCACGCGTACCATCTGATCCTGTGCTCTACTTCTTTCATAGTGAAGCGTTCAATTCATATGAAGCCATAAATTAGCACCTTGTTCAGCTTTTTGCTGACATAGTTATGTTTTTGTGAACGAAGCATTACGGTCAAAATGGCCGTATCTCCATTTTAATTGGATATAACTTTTTTAATTCTTTATTTATAACTTTGATATGTTTTCCTTTTTTAAAAAAACATACGAATATTACATTTTTTGGGGTTCTTTTTAAGTAATTATTCTCGACAATATTATTATTAATACTTAGAATTACGGCTATCCGTCATTTTGACCTTATCCAGAAAGTTATAGATTTCTTAATATTTGTATGACCTTTTTTAGCTATTTCTGGTTTCCTGATAGTAAACAAGTGTACTTTTGGTAAGGAGGATTGCATATTTTACAGAAGTGAGAAGGGGGGGAGGGGGAAATTTTTGCGCACCACGTGTCTGCGCATTTCGCTTGTGTTAGAAATTTTATTTTTCAGTAGACAGAAATGTAGGCATTACCATTTGACCCTATGGTACATCACTGATGTTTCCATAGTTTTACCTGTACCTGTTCTGATCTGTTTATCATGTCGCATAGAAGCGTTGGTGTAAAATATGTAACGGAAGGAAGATATGCTGAAAGTTTTTGAAAATCTTTCTGATGATAATTCTGCTTCAGAAACTGAATCTGATAAATTTCATTTCGAAACTATTCCCAGTTTATCCGAGAACTGGATTCTTCCTACTGATATACTGCAGAATCCAGTTATACGAGAACTGGATTCTTCCTACTGATTGGTGTGTTCCTGCTGATCCTACTGTAATGTGAATCCGATTTGTCTGATGGAGAATCTGTTCGTGAAACACAAAGGGAAAGTGAAAATTTAAATCAAGATCCCAAAGACTGAAAAATGATCCATTTGCTCTTGTTTCGGATATTTGAATGCTTTTATAGAAAACTGCTTAAAATATTATAAACCGGGCAAAAATATAACAGCGGATGAACAATTATAATTTTGGCTTGCAACTGATGTGAAGTAAAACTATTTACTGAACAGATTTCCCTATTTGAAAAAAGAGGAAACATGACCAGCTGAATACACAGTAGTTGAACATGCAGCTTTTCGATTGATGGGCCTGCTGAAATTAGCAAAAGAAACGAATAATTCAGAGATAAGCTGCGCTGGCACAATAAATCGTTCAAAAAGAGAAGTACCTTACTCTTTCAAAAATACGAGGAATGAGCTCTGTTCTAATAAGATTGCTATGCATGACAATATAACGTTTACGGCATATCAAGAAAAAAAACAACAAGAACGTACTGCTTCTGAGTACCATGCACCCAGCATTAAAAACCGCATCTGATGAAAAAAATACACCGGAAGTTGTGAACTTTTACAATTAGATCGAATATGGTGTTGATGGTCTGGACCCGATGGCCAGCAAATACACAGTGAAGTCCGTTGGCCAGTTAAAGATTTTTTTTTTTTTATTTTTTATTTTTTTTTTAAATTTTATTCAGTTGATTTGGCCGTGATAAATGCATGAATAATTTATAAGGAAACAACTGAATATAAGAATATCAGCCGTCGTGATTTTATCTTGAATATTGCTGAGGAGCTTTGAAAGATGCACATTTCATCCAAAATTGACAAACTTTCTGTATGTAGCGAAAAGAGAATTAGTACTTGGCGTCAACCCTTCCTGTAAGCGTAAGCAATCCCAAGTAAATGCATGCAGAGGTAACAAAACTCTGAATACGTGTAAATACAGTAAAAAATATGTTTGTGGAACCTGCACAGGTAAAATTTAAAAAAAAATAGTAATCTGTTTGCACCGTAAAACCGAGCAATGTAAGTACTAATATGTTTAATTTTTAACCCTCTGAGCGGCCAGGGTTTCGCTAGAAAGCATAAATTCCCCAAAACTACTATGAGAACAATTTTTTTTATTTAAATGTGAAAACTGTGCTGGTATTTCATACCTGGATTTGTGTTCTTTTGATATATGTCCTTAATTTCTTTGACATATTTTAATATGCACGTATATATACGTTCTTACAGATATACAAAAAAAAAAAAAATATTGCAGGCCGTGTATATACGGCCTTGCCGCTTAGAGCGTTTTAATATATTTATTTCATATTGAATTTTTATGAGGTATTAAATGATAAGAAGTTTAAAATATCTAGAG